GGAGTGACAGGCTGGAAGGGTCAGAGAGGTGTGAACCACAGTCCATCACAGGGTCCCTTACTCTTCTTAATTCTTACAGGAATTGCTTAACTCACTATTCACTATTGGAGTCTTTGGGAAATAAAATGTACTACAACAAACACCTCCCCATAGGTGGAAAATACATATTTCAGGATTTAAAAGGACAAGATAGAACTCAATCTGAGACAACAGTAGAGGTAAAATATTCCAGACACCAAGTTTTATAACCAAGTGGAGGAAGTCAGCCATATGCTTTGAAAATATATTTATTAAGTAATTGTTTGGTTAAGAACACTCAAAGGAAGGAAAACCTACGTGTAGTTGCACACCACAGGTACATGAAAGCTATAATAGACTCTTCATTAACATTCAGAAAATCCCTAAAGAATTGCAAATCAAAACATGATTAGTGACATTTATGACACATTATAACAACACAAATCAACCACGAACGAGAATCTATACAGACGTAGAATACATCATATATCGGTGAGGGGACTAGGCTGTTTGGAGATCTATATATAGCTATATATGAACAAGTATTTTCTAGTATACTAAACCTATGGTGGTAAAAGTGAGAAACATAAATGTTTTTATTGTTTAAGCAGAGAAATGGTTTAGATTTAGGATGTTAAAGACATAGGAAATCTTTCAAATCATTCTTCCTCAAAGCTTTCTCTGTGGCTGAGGGAGAGAGGAATTATGGAAAGAATAGTTGTATATATTTTGGTGGAACTTTCTGAACATTTATACGAGGCATGCTTTTTGAGAGTTTTATTGGCTTGCCAGTTTTGGTTGGTAGTTCTTGAGCAAAGGTATATCCTGCATCATAGCATAAAATATTAGTTGGAATTCCAGCAAATATCCAGACAGTTGGGAAGGGAATAGGCATGGCGGCTTTTTGTTGTTGTTGTTTAAGGATAATGATAATTCTGTCAACGGAAGGCTAGCCTCTAGCATCCTGTAAGTTGAAGTTCAAAAGAAAAAATACCAAAACAAGCCTCATCCAAACTTTCCCCCTCACGAGCTTCAAACTCAGATTTTTATCAAGACTAACATGATTGCATTCATTTAATGTGAATAAGTTATGTTAGCTTAAAACAACATCTATCACTAGCACATTGTTTTCTGCTGATTTTGACTAAAAGTTAATTCTCTAGATAAAAAATATTTATGTTGTGAATTCACGGAATTAACATTTGTCACTAATCACCCAGTTAAGTTACAATTGTATATATTCTGGCAGGTGTTGCAATTTAAATTGCAAAAAAAAAAATAGGCTAATCATTACCTAATGAACTATATTAGACATGGTTTATCTGTTAATGACATTATCTTTATTCTTTAATACCATTACTTACAAGAGATTCAGTGTTTGTGAAAGCAGAAACTTCTATTCACTCACTGTGACAAGAAATTTTGACATGTAAATATATATGTCATGTTTTAAAGGTATACATACTGCTTTTTAAAAGACAAGAGAGATTTCAGGCACCAGACTTGCAAAAAAATCTCAGTTTTTTTAACACCAAAATTCAAGTATGTGGATAAATTAAAAAAACAGCAAA